CAAATCCAATGTACGGACGTGTGCATGTTGCAATAGAAAGCAGTCAGCCAACTAGCGAACGGTATGGTTTCGAGCGCATCTCCAAACGCCCAACTTCTATACTTGGTGAATGTGATGTCGGGAGTATTAGTCCGGACGCACATAGATTGTCGACATCCTTGGCGTTTCTATGGCCAAATCGCTCAATCCCGTCGTCAATGAAGTGTGCCTGCTTGATCATTAGGGCTAACGCTATCTGTATTGGGCTACACTTAGCCATTACATGAAGGTACATTTATGTAATGTCTGTATGAATCGCGGGAATTAATAATAGAAGTTATCAGTATGGTGTTTCCAAATGCATACGTGATTTCTGGTATGAACTCACAAATATTCTGTGTGATACAGAATGCTGGCTTCTACTTTGGGATCTGTACTGGTGACGAGACCTACGTGTCTCTGTCTTTAAAACTGGGTGGCTTAAGCCAGTCACTTCTTCTGATACCTTCCACGATAGTTAAAGTTCAAGCTTTTAAATTTCAAGCTCCGTACACCCAGATCTTGTATCAATTAAATCTGAGGTTTATTCTCTGTACACCCGTGAGTCAAAAATCAGGCACTCAAGTTTTTATAAGGTAAACCTCAAGGAGCCCCTGAAGTGTTTTGCAAGTAGCTAGGAAGTATAACTCATTTTTATTCAGCTTCAAATTTGCTTTATCCAGCTGCTTACACCCAAGATCTTGTACCTGTTAAATCTGAGGCTTATCCACTGTGCACCCGTGATTCATAAATCAGACACTCAAGATTTTATTTGTAAAACCTCTAGGAGCCCCTGGGGTGTTTTGTATGTAGCTAGGAACAATTTCACATTTTTATTAAGGGCTTCGGTCGCTCTAATTCCCTCCAAGTCGGGACTGTACTTCTCCCTGTATGTCAGAAATCGTTTTCTCGTCGCACAAGCGTGTGTGTTGTGTTTAAGGGACTGTGTGTGAACAGCGCCCTCTTACACGATCTTTTCATGTTCGAATTCCATCCTAAAATAAACTGCACCATGACGAGATCCTGGTGATCAAACCAAATTTTTAAATTCCCTTCACCATTGGTAATTTGCCACTCGTCTTGTCTGCAATGATCATAGCATCGAAATACAGACATAGGTAAGATTTCCTCACGTCAACGCATTGATCCGATCCATTTCTATGAAATCGTTCGCCTTGAAGTATGACCAGTCATCTCTTCTCGGCACTTACAGTTTGCTTGTGTCGGTATATGGCCTTTTTCATCTGGCACGCGAACCTTTGAGCTCTCTTGACATCGAGCGGGATCTCCATTTAAAAATGGTCGGATAGCACAATCTTTGAAATGGTGGGAGCTGTTCCATTTGTAAACAAATACCGCGCAAACCCTGAGTAAATCTCCAATCGGCCACCGGGGAATGAATGTAGAAGAAACCCACGCCGTACCTAAGCACAAACTCTATTGTCACCAATCATGACTTGCAATGCACCACTCTACCATTCCGACCTCATTTCTTAGCAAAGCCCCTGCAGTACACAATACGCTCAATAGATCCCCGTGGAATGAGCGTCCATAATTTTTATGGTGGTACGACCGTAATTCGGAGCCCATCGCCTCGCGCCACTGTTTTACCTCGTCACGAGCCGTTTCCTGCACAGGCAAGTCTGATTTTGCACCAATACCTACATCGTTAGCGAGAATGGCTTGGAAAAAAAGCCTTCTTTGTCAATCCTTGCACGCTTTCAGGATGGTGGACCTTCACTCCCTTTAATAAAGTCGTCATCTGTCGAACAATTTTCTATCATCAACATCGTCCCGCGCGCACGCTTTAAGCACTTAGTTTAAGGTTGAATTTCAATTAATTCTTCTGCAAGATTCGTCGAGAGCTCGGCATACCAATTGGTTTTCCTGTACATTTTATGCTGGAGTTTTGTAGTCTGTTAGCTCGGAGCACAAAGAGGCTAGAAGTGAAGCACGCAACCCTACGATGATTCATGTTGGGCCCCTACCCCTCCATTTAAGCGTCTAGAACGTCTTTTTTTCTCCCCAATCCATAAATTCATCCTGATCTAACTTGCATTTATTTGGACTGATTGCGGCGCCTATATCGTCATTGTGTGACTGTTTCTTCTTTTAGAAGGTATAGTTTGTAAGTGCAGCCCTCCACGCTAGTTCAACATAAACGATCAGGGTAAATTAATCTTCTTGTTATTCATATCGCAAATATGATATCCCTGTGCGAATTTTGGCAAACCCAAAAATCTCTTAGCCTCGAGCTTTGTTGTCTTCACATCATCAACGTGTGCATACCCTTGACATCCAAATACCTAAAGGAGATCCATCTGAGACTCCACCCCCTTAAATCTCACCTCGTTCGTAGTGTTTGGATTAATTGTGTAAGGGGAACGATTGATCACACTGCAGTGCCGACTGCTCTGTCCACTAACAGGTTGGAACGCACTTGTAGTGGAACATCGTCTTCCTTACGAACTTCGTTCCGTTATCCGAGCGCAAGTACTTGATGCGGGTTCCCGATTGATTTTTGTGCCTGGTTATGAGCATTTCCTTTTTTTATTCCTCCAAGCCAGTTAATGTGCCACCATATATCGCTAATATTTATTCACAAACGTTAAAACAAACTTAATCTCTCCCATCGAGAGCGTTTCCATGGGCTCCATTATGTCCATTTGCACTAGCTTCAATACGTGTGGCGTCTAGAGCATCTTGTGAATGCTTCACTTGTCTGCTTGCCATTCATGCGGCCACCACATAAGGACTTAATGACTTGTTTTAGCGAAAGCATACCGCTTCTGGAGCGCAACTTTTCTATCAAAAGTTAATCGTTTGTATGTTTTTCGAGCTGGCCATAGCTCCGACTAAGTATCAGCTCCCGAGTATTGCACCGATTGTGCCTCCCTTTGCTGACCTTCCAGCGTGAAGCTTTACAGTACCTTGTCCTCGTTGCCATAGCACAGTTATTGTCGCAAATGGTACACGAAACACGCTAAAATTTCAAAACTTTCGCACGTTCGGCAATCTTTCCCACCGGCAGGAAATGTCTATCAAATCCGGAAATAAGGAGAACTCCCATCATGGATATGCGTCTTCTGTTTAAGCCAATTCTATTCGCCGTTTTGGTTCCTTCAACGCTAAATTTCTGCCATCTTTAAACGTCACCTTGATGCTGGTTTCTAGCCGCTGAGGATTGACCGAGTCACCTCGGTGAGGGGTCATGTGCGATATCAGGCTGATGTCAACTAGCCAGCCAGTTTATCGATCCTCACCCACAGCAAATACTGCATCATGTGCGATCATGTCCTGTGAGGGGTCATGTGCGATATCAGGCTGATGTCAATTAGCCAGCCAGTTTATCGATCCTCACCCACAGCAAATACTGCATCACTTATTGCTGAAACGGTCTTTAGTCTGGTGCTGAATTTTGATGACCTGGACAACGATGCACAACTTCTTGGCGTCATTCATGAGCCACATCATCTTGTTCTTATCCTCTACAACCATGATGTACCCCAGCAGTTCACGTCTAGTTAATGTCATCCTCTTGTTAGAATTCCGATGTCGGTAGTCACCATCACCCAGGAGGATATTTGCAGCGGGGCTGTCGTAGCTTAGCTCTTGAGGAAGCGTAATTCAGGTCACCGACCTTAAGTACGAGTTAGCGGATCACAGTTCGCTCACTCCAAGAGTAATTATTGCCTTACCCAAGGCAAATTATCTCTTCTGTTTAAAGTTGAAAACTGATATTTATTTATTTTTATCTAAACCGCCTAATTTTCAAATGTATCGGTTTTCCTAAATATATATAGTAATTTCTAAATACATTTTTAACTACTGGCTATCTAGCCCTTGTTTGGGTTGGTCACACCATGCCCATTTGGTGTGACACACACCCGTGTTACCAGGGTATGTGAAATTCCGTTACAACATTGGTGCGCTTGGTACTCATGACGAAAGTGTCGTGAAGCGAGGTTTGGTTGCGGCTGATTTAGAGAAGATGGCAAAAACCGAAGTGAGTATAATGGCAGTCGCTGTTCCATCGCGCTATATTGTCAAGTACGGCCGGCATGTGTTATCTTTCATAATTAGTATTTTCTTAATATTACGTTAAAATGATCTTTACATAGATAATGTGCTCATCCTCTTAGTACGACGGTTTCTACAAAATAGCGAGTTATATATAGATACAGTATATGGGGCTGATTACGTGTGGCATTACAGACATGTAGTCGTGTACATTTCTAATGGCTGCATATGATATTTGACAGGTTAATTTCTAAACAAGTGTGTCAATTCTCTATCTTGATAAAAAGCCGTCCATAAATTGTTGATGAATTTGTAAGAAAAATTGTTACATCCCCCTCAAGATCCTTAAGCCATGATTGTCATTCCCTCGCACTGCTGCATTCTGCCCTTAGTTTTTGGGGCTTACCTTGCTAACGACGGCCGAGACTATCACAGTAGATGATTCTGTATCCAATGCTGTAGCTGTTGTGCCAAATCAGCACATAAAAACGCACACGCAATCAAGACCGGATGGTGATCGCGAATTGCTCGAGGAGCGAGTCTTTCCTACTTCGACTATGACCGGATTAGTTGGACATGAGTTTTATCTATTTGGAGATACATCTGTTCCCAAAGAAGTGATTGATCAGCTGCACATGATTAAGTATGTCTTTGAAACGGAGCGTTATGACGGTCTGATGGATGAAGTTGCGATTTATAGTATCTTGGATGTTGTTGCAGACAAAACCGAGCTGCTTCGTCATTATTCCTTGCTAGCATGGCTTGGAACGAAGTCACTTAAGGATCAGAAAGCCGCAATTTCGACTCTTTTCAACAATTTGAAGCAAAGTGTGAGCACCAAATTCATTCTGCCAAATATTTTGGAGAATGGAAAGAAGGAAAGAGACATTTCTTATGTTTTGGCTTTAGCTGTGGAGAGGGAATGGTGGTTGAGCATTTCGACGAGTGAGATGTACCATGTTCTAGGAATTTCTTCCGACTTCAAGACGGATGAAGATTTTGTTAAAGAATTGGGACCATTACTTTGGGGTAAATTTGACCATATCGGAAAAGAGGATTTTGTAAAGTTGATGTTGACGAAAATGCGAGAACGATCAAGAGATGAAATTATGTGGACGAACATTATTTACAAGATGCGGAGTGACAAAAGTGTTATTATGCCCTGTGACGAATTGTTAAATGAGCTTCTTCGGACGTACGACACAAATGCAGGTGCTTTGCCCATCGATGCCGTCAGGATTCTGACGGAATTCGATTTGTTTAGTATTTATCGTCCAGCGGTAACAAAAGAAAAGAGTGTCGAGATGTTGATAAGAGAGAGGTTACTTCAGCTGTCACCGGATGA